GAGAAACCCTGTCTTGAAAAACAAAAAAAAAAAAAAAAAAAATATATATATATATATGACTCACAAACCCTGGTATGTGTTCATTAAAGATGAAGGAACTATATCAAAGTTATTTTTACATCAAAAGATTACAGAATAATAATTAAAGAAAATACTTCAAATGTGGGAGGGGGGACACAGGTGTTTGACAGAGAAGGGAGGGGTGCGAGTGATGTACATAAGAAGGTACAAAAGTCTCAAAAATTATTTAAAAATAGATCATAGATGTGCAGTACTGACAGCTAAATAACATTTAGTAAAATTTCTACAGATGGATACATGGAAGTGTAAGTGATGATATAATATTCTCAAGGAATTGCTAATGTTTGATTTAGGATTTCATAATAACAATGTTCCTCACTCATCAGCAGCACTAAAAAGTGACAAGATGCCACATGAACTTTGAACAATGTTCTCAGAGGATAGCTAGTTGAATAATACAGTACAGTCTATGGATCCAGGATTCATGTGGAGATATAAATTGTGATACACCTTAATTATGGACCAGAAGTGTGATTATCAAACTTGAGTGATATCTGCCCATGTCTGACAATATCCCTTTCCTTCTGGATTCAGAAGACACTCATGCAAATAGGAAGCTTTATCCTCTCTTTGGAAGTGCCTTCATAGAGAACTGAGAGAAGATAAAATGAAGACATTCAACAAATTAGGGGAACTGTGAAGCTCTTCATCTACCTTAAGACAAGAAGAAAGCATAAAAGTTGTTCTTTTTTTGTCAGCATAAAAATTAGAAGCTAAAGCAGCTACCAGATGTCCACTGTGAGGATGCAGAAAAGGCAAAAGCTGGCAAGTGGATGGCCCTGGCCGGTTGCCCGTGTTTACAGGTGAGTGCCAGTGACCCTTGATTGAGAGACACATACCTGGCAAATGAAGTTAATTACTCCTAACACTACTGGGTCCTCCAGCAGGAGTGTTATTTAATTGGAATGTTAATCATCTAATGAAGACATTCATGTGAAATTCAACAATGCACTGTAAAGTTATCACCGACTCACTAGATACATAGTCACCCACAAAAATGTTTAACATAGACCGATATGCTTGTTTGTGTCCAACACTATTTTATACAACTGAGTGTAAAGGGGGAACTATTGGCCATACTTACATTGTTGCCAACTTTGTGTATCAGTTATATGGCCGAACCTAACAGACCAACTCCAAGGAGGATAATCAAGACAAAATAAATGTAAGATCGAATAGCAAAGTGATTGCTGGCTTTATAAACGAGCCTATAGGAAACTCTTCAGCATGCCCAGACAAAAGCTTTGGGGTTACAACAGCATCCTGGGAAAACTGACATTTGAGGTCCAAAGTCTATACTCAGTGAATGAACAGTTATTGTACAACACCACTGTTGTACAAGCTAATACTGGCAGAAACATTCTAAAACACAGTTCCTCAAAATTGGCCTGGGAGCAGTTTGAACTAGTTCCTGTTTCTCCTTCTGGGTCCTGAAATGTCTTTATCCTGGACAATTATGGCCTATATCTTTGTTGAAGCTCCTTGAGAGTATTATACACTACAGTGACTCATATGTTCTGTATAAGGCCCAACAGTGCACAAAGGTGAAATGTTTAATTTTAAAAACAGGCCTGTCTTGAAATTTAAAAAAAACAATCAACAGACAGCCTGAATTATCACACAGCAGCAATACACTGGAATGAGAAATTACGTATTTACATGGCTCAAGTGTCCTTGTCCTGGTGCAGTCTTCCGCAGCTTTATCCCATGACTCTAGCATCAGGAACATCACTTCCATCATGTATGTTCCAGTACTCAGGAACTAGTCTTAGCATGTGGATTTGTGTTACTTACTATACAGTCATACATACTGACATCTACTGATGTAATCATACTATGCATTGCTGTATAATTATATACACAACACATGAATCATATGTAATATGATTATGAACAGGACTTCTGCCTTAAGATAATCAGGAGGATGAAAATAAGTGAGTATGGGTAGAGGAAGACTGACCGGGTTCTGGTGATTAGATATGCTTTATAATCTGCAAATAGGACTTTATTTCTTACTCTGCGGTGTGTGTGTCTTTCTGTGTATGTGTGTGTGTGTGTGTGTGTGTGTGTGTGTGTGTGTGTTATACATGTGATTTTGGTGTCTTTGCATACGTATGTGTGGATGTACACTCCCATGCACATATTGAAGTCAAAGAACATTGAGTACCCTTTTCTACTACTCTCTGCCTATTGCTTTAAGACAGGGTTTCTCACTGAACCTGGAGCTCTGCTGCTGGCCACAAATCCCAGTAGCCCTACTGTCTCCCCCTCCCCAAGTGTCTTTGTTATGGGCTTGTGTGGCCATGCCTTTCTCTTTTAAGTAAGTGCTGGAGATTTGTTGCCTCATATATGAGGAACTTACCTACTTAGTTACCTATTAAGCCATTATCCCAGCCCCTATAATTTTTACTCTTTAGTTAAATGTTTCAAAATGAACACTTCCAAAAGAATGTTTAGATAATAAATATAAAAATATTTGCTGTTCTTTCTATATATGTGCCTACACACATTTACAAACATGTGCATGCATATAAGCATGTGTATGTATGTATGTATGTATGTATGTATATATACATACATATGGACAGAGATGGAGGGAGTCAGAAGCATACATGTTTGTGTGTTTGTATGTAATAAGAATTGCTTTGTTTGGGTATTTTATCTTGACGATTTTTGTTTTGAGGGTTTTTTGTCTCTTTGGGGTTTTTCTTTTGAGAAGGAAAGAATATGAAGTTGGGTGGGAAGAAGGTAGGGAAGATCTTAGAGAAGTTAGGAAAGGGGAAAATAAAATCAAAATAAATTGCATCAAAAATTTTTAATTAAAAAAGAATTGTGTATGTATTTAGAGAACTCTTAATCATGTTGAAAATAGATAATATGACACTTGTGAGTGTAATTTAGGTTCATTTTGAGCTATTCTTGTCAGTTCTTAGAATTTATCCTATAAAACATGTACTACACAATTTTAAAAATTATTTCCAAGTCATCATCATACTCCTACTGATAAAGACATTAACACAGTAGATATATGACTCATAGCCAGTAACTAAAACTCTAAAAATGACATCATTGGGATACAGCTATAATTACAACCTTTTTATATTCTTGGAACCTCAAAAAATATTGATAAATGAATCAAAATTAAATATACTTTGCAACCTGTTGGAGATATTTGATTTTCTGGAAAGAAGGATTTATTGATGAATCTGTACATTCTCTAATCATTCAGTAGCACAAACATTCTCAGCTAAATTAAGCCATATCGCACCCACTTATGTTCACCTGTATGATATTTTAACAGATGCTGTCTTCCAACACTTCTTCAAAGTTTTTCACTCATGATACAGATATATAAATATATAAAATAAATATACAAGTAATCATTTATTGCTAAGTCATAAAGAAATCCATATTTCAATAATTATTTGATATAAATATAATTTTACCCTTTAATTGAGCTTAAAAATTTGTATACTAGTGAGATGGAATGCTCTTGTTTATTTTTACAGAAAAATTTAAATCTTGAGTGAACATTTGATATAGGAGGATGTAGATTCAACATTTTTCAGACTTGGTTGATATTTTGAATTTATAATCATCAATGTAAGAGCACTGATTTGGAAAAATATACATTAAAAATAACAGAATTATTTTTGATACATTTAAAAATTGTTGAAAATCTCTTTTAAATTCAAGCCAACACTCTTTTAATGTTTATGAAGAATAGATCACTGTATGGAAGACTAGCAACTGCAGCTTCCTTGCCCTGGCTCTTTACAGCCTGATTGCTTGCATAAAGACCTCCTACAGAGACTACCTAGCCTGTGCTGTGCCTAATAAACACTCTGGAGTTCCAGGTTGGGCACTTAACCCGGGATCCCTGTGTGCATCTGTGTGTCTGTGTCGGATCTCTCCTCTCTTCATTCCAGCTTGGGTCTCTCCTCTCTTCAAGCAGCTTGGGACTCGGCACCAACAAGGCTGAAAAGAAAAAATCTGTGAAATAAAAATATTGCAATTGACAGTATATAATATTCTTGTTCTGTGGTGAGACAACATGCTTTGTGCAAAGTATGCATGTTGTGTGTTTGGCACAAAGGCACAGTGAATTCATATAATGAGGAATGCAAAAGCTACCACAAACAATTCAGATCATTTCATGTTTGATTTTGATTAACTTTTGGTCACTGGGTACTTAGAAACCTTACACTTTTTACAACTGTCACATTCAGTGATTCTCACATTTGGGGTTATAAAACACAGTTTAAGAGGAATCAGAGTGAGGGCTGGCTGGAGAGATGGCTCAGCGGTTAAGAGCTCTTGATTATCTTCCAGAGGTCCTGAGTTCAACTCCCAGGAACCACATGGTGGCTCACAACCATCTGTAATGGAATCTGACTCCCTCTTCCTGTGTGCATGAAGACAGAGCACTCATATACATAAAATACATGAATAAGTAAATTTTATGAATATTTCATAAAATACATGAATAAGTAAATCTTTAAAAAATAAAATGAAGTGGGGTATGTTCTACCTAATAAAATCCTGTGTCTAAATTGGTGACATTCTTGAGAATTGTGACAAAAACTTAAATCAGGTGGGAAGGGTTTGTCCAAACAATAGAAATGTTTTCACATGCTTAAAATCCTGTAATAGTCAAAAAAGTTATAGATGGGCCATCAAGAAATCTCAGTTAGAAAAGGAGCAGCTGCCAAGGCAGATGACCTGAGCTTGACCTCCATTGCCTACATATTGGAAGGAAAGAACCAACCTGTGCAAGTTGTCTGACCTGCACACACTTTATTGTACATGTACTCCCCCACATAAATAAGTAAATAAATAAAATTAATTTTTATTAACAAAGCTAACGATAAAGGATTAGAAAGGATGGAACAGGAATCTGTTCTGTGTAAGGGCTTTGACAGAAATGTGTCACTGGGGTCCAACCAGAGGTATCTATAGGTTCTTTACAGTAACAAAAATCCATCTCCAGAGCGACAAGAGAAGAAGACATCATTTATGAGCAAACCGTTTAGATGCAAACCTGGACCACCTGGAGGTTAGCTTAGCACAGAGTGGAGTAATTGAGTGGAGATGTGGAGTGATGCTGCCAAACAGGAAAGAGAAAACCAAGCAGGAGAGTAAGTTCAATGCCCAGCTCTCACAATGAGCAAGAGCTGCTGGTGAACCTGGACAGTGTGGCCCAAGTTTACTCTGTGCCCGGATTGCTCTTCTAAATAAGTGTCTACAGGAAAGGACAAACTCATGCTGGATTTATTTTGGAGTTTCAACTCATTTGAAAAATAACGGTAATTGATTTTTTCTCCCTAATCACTCAGGAAGATATGAAGTATTTCTGTTCATTTTTGGCTATGAATATCCACCCTCATCTCTCTTCTAGACTACTTCCTCTGCCAGTCTGCATCCTTGAGATCTCAGCAGGCCTCAACCCATCAAACCTGATGCCAGTGCTTCTTCCCTAGCACTCCAAACCTTAAGAGGCTCTCAATCAGAACCTCCTGCCTTGGTTTGAATTTTAAGGTTGTGTTCTTTCACTGGGGGCAGTACAAAAACTCCTCCCACCACTCGTTCTCCACACCCTCATTTCTTCTCCTGACCTAATCTCGTCATATAGATGTGCACATGGAAGGTGTGATTGATAATAATGGAGTGGGTACTAGGGGCATATATCTGGCTCTAGTAACTAATAATAGCTCTGAATAAAAGATGTGTTAAGAAGCAGTAACTGCTCCCCCCACTTGCCCCTTGCCACCTGTGGCAGGCTGGAGAGCTGACGCAGCCCCTCACCAACTGCAGCACTACTTGGGAAAGTGAGCCCTGCACCTAGCCTGAGCAGCATAGTGGAGTTTACCCCTCCTGGCAGGGGCACAGATGAGCCTGGATGTAAACATGGGAGATCTGCCTGCCCCCATCTGCCATAAGGTGGTATGAGCGAGGGAGAGATGCTCTGTTACCCCTCACCACTTATAGGAGGTGGGAGAGCTGGCCCTGAGGTCATACAAATGGGAGAGCTGGCCCAGCACCTCACCAGCTGCAGCACTCGGGAGAACAGGCCCTGCACCTCACCTGGGCAGCACAGTAGAGCTGATCTTGCTGATTGGGGCTTAGATGAGCTGTTTTGTAGGGTGTGAGCTTAGGAGAGCTGGCCCAACTACTTGTTTGTCATATGGCAGTGGGTAAGGGAGAGATGCTGCCCCCTTGCAGCCCACAGCAGGCAGGAGCTGGCCCCTGGGTCATAAGAGCACGAAAGCTGGCCCTGCCTCTTATTAGCTGCAGCACTCAGGAGAGTGGTCCCTGCACCTTACCTGGGCAACACAGTAAAGCTGGACCTGGCGGTATAGGTTCAGGTGAGCCAGCTGAGGGCGTGAGAGCAAGAGAACCAGTCCCATCCTTTACTGCTTACTGCATAGGGTGAGCTGACAAGGCAGAGAGCTTGCCCTGGTGGTGAGAATGAGGGAAAGCTGGTGTACTGACCAACCCAGCAACCAGCCAGGCTCAAAAGCAAGGCTATGAGTTGGCCCACCCCAACATCCACTCCATCTATGATCTGCTGTAGCACATGAAGGGGCCAGTCCTATAGATCCAAAGCTGCAGGATCTCCACAACACAGGATATCCAAGAGGAATTCCAGTGAGGGCCCAGTATCAATGGCGTAACAGAAACCAGAGGCTTCAAACCAGACCAATGACTCATTGCAATGAACACTTGCAAGTAAAGATGTATGGACTAAAGGGTATACTATGTGACTCACTGTGTCACACTATAGCTTTCATAATGAGATTTTTCTTTTTCTATTTTTTCTTTTCTTTTAAATTTTATTTTGTTTTATCTTGGAGGGAAATTGCAAAGGGATGGCAAGATGAGAGGGAGCTACATGCATGATATGAAATCTATAAAGAATCAATAAAAAATTAAAGAAAGGAAGGAAAGAAGAAAGGAAGAGGGAGGGAGGAAGGAAGGAGGGAAGGAAGGAAGGAAGGAAAAAGAGTAACTACGATTCCCCACTACAACACCTAATTCACTTCTGAAATATAATGTACTACGATACTGGTCCTAGTAGTTGTGTTTTCCAACTTACTGAAATGTCAAATGACACTAGGAACTTTACTTGTTTATCACTAGCAAGTTAACCATGGCTTTGAAAGAATTAATAATCTAACTAAAAGTTGATTGGAGTTTTGGGAATAAAAATATTTGTACCCTGGTCTCTTTGCTTCCCAAGTTTGGGTGTAGTCATCCCTCTGTGTTTCCATATAGCCCACTGGAAGCATGTACTTCAAATATCATAAATAATACAATTATAATGGGAGTCATGGTATTTGTGAGATCAAGATCAGTTTGAAGCAAACTATAGTCCTCAGTAAATCTAGCTGAGCATGACTAATAAAGGAAAAGAATAAATAGATATCTCCCTAGCCAATAATTCTCTTTTTTAATTTTATTTTTTTAGATTATAATTTAATTACAACATTTCTTCCTTCATTTCCTCCCTCCAAACCCTCCCATATATCCCTACTCACTCTCTTACAAATTCATGGCCTTTTAAAGTAATTGTTATTGTATGCAAATATACATATTTATATACATGCTTTAATAAGTATAACCTGTTCAGTCTATATAATGCTACCTGTATTTATGTTTTCAGGGATGACCATTTGGATCTGAACAACTGAGTGGTGTGCTCTTCCTGGGGAGGGCCACCTCTCCCACTCCCAGATTTACCAAGTTGCTTGTAGTTCTTTGTGAAGAGTGGAGGCCTGGTGAGCTTTTCCCTGTGCAGTTTGGCATGTTTGTTGGTGACCTTATTTAGCTCACATCTGGGTAGTCATTGTATTGAGATTTTATGGGTGTAGCTTCTGACATTACTAGGAGATGCAATTTCACAGCAAAATCCCTGATCTTCTGGCTTTTACATTCTTTCAGCCACCTCTTTGGCAGTGTCCCTGAGCCTTAAGTGTGTGGGTGTTTGGTAGATACATCCAATGAGACTTGGCTCCACAACTCTGCATATTCATTGGTTGTGGTTTTCTGTACTGGTCTCCATCTATTGCAAAAGAAAGCTTTCCTTAATGAGGAGTGATAACTATATATATCTGTGGATACAAGGACAAATGTTATAGATCGTTGTTAGAGACTGCTGGTTTAGTAAATTAGTGGTTGTAGATTCTCCTCAATAACTAATTTCATTAGCACTGAGTAGTTAGCTTGGCTTCTAGAACCAGGCATGGCCTCCCTTTTGTTGAATGGGTCTTAAGTCCAATTGGAGAACTGTTGGTAACCACCAAGGTACGTGTGCCACTGCTGCAGCCCTATGGTTGTGATGCATGCTGGTGGTTGTTGTGGTTCATAGGCATCACAGCAGAGTAGGACTGTTGGTTGTCTCCCTCCTTTGGAAGCTTGCATAGCACTTTCTGGTACCATGAAAGCTAGTCCTCAGGGAGGGGGCATTCAGGTCAGTTTCAACTCAGGGGTTTCTGGGCCCTATTTCTGAAGTGCATGATGTCTTCAGCAGTAGGGACTTACCTTCCATCAATAAAAATCAGAATGTTCTCACAGATTTACCCTGAGTCAATCTCGTGCTTGTCACACAAAATCCTGTGTTTACTGGCATCCTTATTGAATGTACTTTTGTTTCAGTATGTACTTTACAGCAGCTTTAACATCCTTATTCCTCAAGCTGTAGATAATTGGATTCAGCATGGGGGTAACTACTCCATAAAATAAAGAAATGATCTTATCTGAAGTTTGGAACTTGTCTTCCCCAGTCAGATCTTGGGATTTGGGTTTTGCATACATAGAGAAGATGGTACCGTAAAATATGACCACCACAGTCAGGTGGGCTGAGCAGGTGGAAAAGGCCTTGCGTCTCCCTGTAGCTGAGTTCATTCTCACGATGGTGTGGAGGATGAACATGTAGGAGAAAAAGATGACCAGTAGTGGAAGAACCAGGAAGGCCATATTTGATATCACCATGGTAATGATATTGAGAGATATATCAGCACAAGCTAGCTTGAGGACAGCTAAGACCTCACATGTAAAATGGTTAATAACATTATTCCCACAGAAAGGCAACCGCATGGCAAGGGATGTCTGCACGAGTGAATTGATTCCACCAGAGAACCATGATACAGATGCCATTGATACATACACTCCTTTGCTCATGATGATGGAGTATCTCAAAGGGTTGCAGATGGCCACATATCGATCAAAAGCCATCATGCCAAGAAGCAAACATTCTGTCGATCCCATTGCAAATCCGAAGAACATCTGCACTGCACAACCAGAGAAAGTAATGTTTCTTTTCTTTGAGATTAGGCTCACCAGCGTTGAGGGAACAGAGGAAGTTGTGTAGCAGATATCCAGGAAAGAAAGATTGCCCAGGAAGAAGTACATGGGTGTGTGGAGACGGGAATCAAAGATGCTTGCTATGATCAGAACACCATTTCCAGTTAAAATCACTAGGTACATAGCCAGAACAAGAGCAAAGTAAATGATCTCAGTCTTTGGGTATCCAGCAAGACCCAAAAGAAGGAATTCGGAAACAAACGTCTGGTTATTTTCATCCATGCCATCCACTTTCAGCCATTATTAGAAGACCCACCGTGAAACAAATCCAATGCCCCCAAACAAGTGGTACAAAGTACCTGAAAAATCATTGTTAATGTATTAGAAAGAGTTCATTTTTGAATCTCTGACATTAATATCTTCAATAATGTGTTATTAGAATATAGTAAAATTGGGCATTTTGGAAGTACACTTGACCATTGCCAACATATGACTATCAATATCAAACACACATTCAATACTTTCTGTTGTTGAGAATACTTTATTCCTAAGTTTATGTTTCCTAAACCCCTGTTACCCACCATATACCTGATTTCTTCATTTCATCTGTCCTAATAAGTAAGCAATGGAGAAGACACACAAAGCAAAAAGTCTACTCAAAAACACTGGCATATTAGTCAGCAATTGACAATAGTAAAAATATTATAGCAACTTTGACTTTTTAAATAATATTTTTTATTCCTGATGTAACAAACAGTATTAGCCCTTTTAATAGTTTTTATCAGTATTTATTCACAAGAAACTAAGTGGTGTAAGCTAAAATTTAGCATCAGATCAAAAGCATAGCTGTTGTCTTCACATTTCAACCCACTTTTAGCATCTTGTATGATTGTTCCTATGACAAGACCATTACACAGACATGCTCCACAAAAATGTGATAGAGAGTCTTGATAAAGCATAACACATTCCTTTCTTTCTTCTGCAGCATGAGAGTCCATCTTGGTGATTTACTTGTTTAAGTCAATTTGACGATAGTAATAATGTAAGGCTTAAATGAATGCAGAGTTGGTGAACTAAATATTTCTGATTTGCTTCTGATTCAAAACCATTTCCTTTTGACACATTATATAGACTGATATAGCAACCTTCAGAAATTCAAGAACAATAATTCTCTTGCATTTTATAGACAACTCTAGATCTACATAATGTTAAATACTAAAATATTATTTAAATATTTAAGTGCAGAATCAATTTGTACCAATCTATGAAAATGTTTTTAGAATGTTGTTCATAGACTACTTTGAAGCCAGTCACATTCCAAACACAATAAGGGTAAATGAAGGAATAAAGGAAGGCATTGTTATCGTGGGGTTGACAAGTCTACTTATAATACACGAAAAGTACATAAAAAGATATATTATGGATGCTTATATATTGTATCTTAGGTCCAAATTGTACATTTTCTGAGAAGGTTGATGTTTATGAGAAATAAATCATCAAGGGAGACTCAAAGAATCATTTTGGACATTCTGAATCTAGAAACATGGAAAGGATCAGATGGGAATGAAAAAGAAAATAAAATGGGCAAATGTAATGTGAGAAGCTGAGCCACAGTTAGGAGGCAGATTGACTGGATATTCATTTTATATGAGGCTGTCTCTGTGAGGATGTGATGGCAAACAGATCTGGGAAAGAAGTAAATGGGGACCATAGAAAGCCCCTGACAGCGGAGGAACTTGGAACTACTACCGGTTGAGAGCTTATCAATAGAAGGAAAAAAAATGGGACAAGTCAGCTTGTGGCCTGACTTCAACTATCCCCTAACCCTAACATCACATTATATGATATTATGAGTCTTAAAATGGAAAGTAATTAGGAGACTTGAGCTATTAAATCAGTAGAATTGTCACTGATTGCTGAATAGATTATAAAAATCACTCTTTCTGTAATCACCACTAGGTTTGACTACAGTAAAACAATCACAAGATGCAGCCCTGCATGGGTGACTAGTTCAGAGAATTCCTCCAGCACATGTGACATATGTTGCTCTGTGTTAGTAACTCAGAAAATTATTAAGAAAATATTCTTAGGAGTCAGACATCCCACTAAGTAGGACTGCTCTTTGCAATGAATTAATTTTTAATACTATTCAACACATTTAAATGTTGAAGAGAAAGATATTCAATGGCAGTTTTAGAAGTAAAAAAAAAGTAACCCCAAACAGATTAGTAATTTATATTATTGATTCAGTTCAAGAACAGAGCAGCAAAAGAGGAAGAAGGAGTAGAAAAAGAGAAAGATGGGGGGAAAGGATAAGGAAGGGAGAGAGAGAGAGAATGGATACATGGACAGAGACACAGACAGAGATAGAGATGGAATGCTGGAAGTATTTCTTTAAGCCGCAGTCAGGTGGATAACAGCAAGAGGCAAGAATCCCCTCACAACACTGCCTCACCTGACTGGTCCCTAAAAGTGTCTAAAGAAATCCTGTTGTCAACAAGAGAGAGTGGTCAACAAGATGCACAGAGAAATTAGTCTCGATGGTGAATCAACTCTATTGATTAAACAGTGCCCAGAGAAAGGGGACAATAATTTTATATTTATCAAATAGTACCTGATAAAATGAAATTTCCCTGTGAGTCAATTTCAGAAATTGCCTAAGGACCACTGGATCATAGACATGAGCAGAAGGATCAGTCCAGAGAAATGAAAAAGGAAGAAGACAGGTTAACTCACCAAGACACATGGCCATGCTCCCAGTCAGATCATTTTGGAGGCCAGGCCTAGGGAGCCCACCTTCCTCATCCAGACAAATGTCAGGATGATTCATCTTAGATGATCTGAATGGCTTCTCCAGTCACTGTCTCAGCCTTACCCTCTTGGGGGAAATTCTTCACTACTCAGATCCACCCGGAACCAAGCATGTCTTGCTGTGTTTGTCTTCTGCTCCTGGCACTCTGAGTGGGTTCCCTCCTGTGTGAGAGAGAAGCAGAGTCAGGAGGGAGGAGCTTGTCTCTCTTGCTTAGACCTTTACTCCTAAATCAAACACAGCGACTAGACACAGTGCAGGGTTTTAGCTGAACATATCAACTTTGACTTCCTAGACCTGTAGCATTTATGGATTCAAGTCGAGGGCAACTTAATGTGCCCAAGTTGTTGGCTTGCAGCAGACTTTAATCATTTTTCAGCTTCTTTTAGTGAGACTAACAAGTTACAGTTGTAACTAGATAATCACAGATTAAGCACTGGTGGTAACAGGGGTCACCCAACACTCACTAAAATACATATGAAGTAGGTTTAGCATCAAGGAAAAGTACTCAGACTGGAATCATAGCCTTTATTTGAGGTTCCCTTTCATTTTATAACCTGTCTTCTCATTTTGGAAATGGTATAAAAATACCTTAATCTTTTCCACAGATTACATATTATAACAAAAATAGAATAGTATGTAGAAGTTTCTTTAAAGATTAACATACATAAGGATTACAATATAAGGTGATAATTTACAGAAGTATTTGGGAAAATAAATTACTTCCTATTTGGCTTCAGGACATTTGTATGATTACTACATGATGGCTAATGCTTTTAATTACAAAACGGCTCTAATTGACTCACCCTTACAGTGATGGATTTCTACCGCCTTATAGGAACCAGTTACATTTTTATAGAATTAACTTCAGTATTTGGAAGGTTCAACAAATATTCCAGATTCCATAGATGTGTCAGAATAAATATTTCTTATGCAACAGCTATTATAATTGTTCCCCAAATCCCAAAGCAATTTAAAGTTGGGATTGAGGGAATCTGGGATAGAGGAACTTCTTATGCGATAGGGACCATGTCCCACACACCCAATTACATTCAGTAGAAAATGTACTGTAGCTGAGCTAACACCTAAGGGGAAAATCATATTCTCCAGCCCTTGTGACTTTGGGAAAGGGCAGCAGATATACAGCTAGCAAACTCTGAAGAGTGGGAGCTTCAGTTTAAAACATATCTAGAAAAACACAGTTAATATAAGAGATTAGTGATCCAAACAATGGTGAGTATTATTAAATATAATAATTGAACAAGTGCCTTTGGGACTAGAAAGATTGTTCAACAAATAAGAGTATTACTGCTCTTGCAGAGGATCTGAGTTCAGTTCCCAGTATCCATGTCAAGTGGTTCACAACTGCCTGTAACTCTGATTCAAGAAAGATCCAATGACTCTCCACAGGCACTTGTACTCACAAGTACACACACACACACACACACACACACACACACACACACACACTACACACAACATACACACCATTTAAAAATAAAATATTTTTAAATTAATTTTTTAATTTTTAAAATGAAAAATAAAATATTGATCACAAATTGGTGCATTGTCAATTAGCATTTTCTTTACTATCTCTTGATTTATTTGTTACATTAAAGTCATGATGATTCCATCACCAGCCATTTTTCAAACAAAAAGAAAGCAATATAATAAATAAGCCTACAGGATATTCTGAATTCATATGTTAAGATCACAAAATTTGGGTGTTGATTTTTAGCGGGGGGAGTTTGTACCCATGGTAAATAGTTTGAGGCAGATCCAGTACATTATTAAACCAAAGCATTTAATGAAAGTCTGTGAAGTGTCCATATACAGAGGTTCACTGTAAAGCATTTAAGTTCTGAACATCATCAGTTGCTTAGCAGAGCAGGCATAGTATTGATACGCACAAAAACACAAAACCATACAAATCTCACAAAAAAGAAACACACACACAGAAATACAGAAAGAAAAATTTGTAGAAATTCTATGGTAGAATTCACCCTTTCAAAGATGAGTAGGTTAGGATGTGAAGTGTTAAAATGTTTTGAAGTCAACCAGTGATATTTGAATAAGTAAAAACTATAAAAGTCAAATAGTCAAGATTACAAGTATTGAGACCCTAATACGCTTTCTTTACAGCTTTCCTATAAATTTTAAACTATTCTAAAATTGCAAGATAATTTAAATAAATATAAAATGAATCCATGAATTGTTTATATTTTTAATTTAGAATTTTAAGCTGAAAATCCATAAAAGCCTGCTGGTTCTACTTTCTATAGTAAGTAAACTGAGCTAAAAAGTGGTGAAAAAGTTCAAAGTCATAGTATCTCCTAATATTTTGATCAGCAGTAACTACAAAGTCTATTATTCAAGGTGATAAATAGCTTTAAAATATGTCTGGAACCAAACTTTTATCTTTGACAGTCAACATTAATTCATATTTTTAATTGATCTTACATCCTACTTATTAAGTCAATTTGATGAAAACTATTTGCCACCGTGAGCCAGTTCTCTGGACACTGCCAATATGCCTTTTGATGTAGCAATTTGCAAGGACCTAGGATCTAGTAAAACAAATGTATATTGAATGTACATGGCATATGAAGATCACATTGTTGTGTAAGGAAAAGCTTCTTACAAAATGCTT